GTGACTTAATAATAAAAGTTTATAACACGTCGCGCTCTTGCACTGAGCTTTCGACCGAGCGCGCATACATCGCTCTCGACATACTCGCGTCTCTTCATGGGTTTTGATAAAGAAAAACTAATAACTACAAGGTATGAAATGATTGTTAAGATGCGAGGAACAATATCCGGCAACTTTTTTGGCTTTTCATCGAAGTTAAATAATAAAAAAGCCTTATAAACAAATAAAAACAGCTTTTTCGTTGAAATTTCACAACTTTCTAAGCTGCCAATAATTGTTAAATAAATAAATTAATAAATGGAACTTATCTATCTTGTAAAATAAAGTTCAAGCTTTAAAATGAGATGTCGTGCGTCTCAATTCGTTCAATAGAACCAGAGATATGGTAAAATAGGTGCGCACGGAGACGGAAAATGTGAGATATTTGCACTAAATTTGCAATAACTTTGGTTAAAGTTAATCGTTTTTTAATTTTCCAAAACATATATGTTTGTTATGAGAAAGCGTATCTATTAACGCATAAAAAATTGTACTAGCTATAAAAATAAACTTTTTACAGCCATTTAAACATTTAATTTGTTAATAACAATTAAACTGACCACTTTCAGGTTTTGCGACCAATTTTTTTGGGTTCAGGAGGTCAAAATAGTTAAGAATAAGTTTTTTGCAGCCGTGGCACTTTGATTGGCCACGGAGCCCTATCTGGCTCCTAGACTATATACTTAATAGGCATTGTAGGGGTTACAGTTTAAATTTTCTCAGATATTTGCGGTTTACTTACATTTTCAAGAATATTACGTTAAAATATCATCAAATGTACCTTGAAAGGCAAATATTTGTATTGTCCTCACTATTCTACAGGTATCAAGTATTTTGTGGACAAGAAAAATGCATAATAATTATTCTAATGAAGATATTTTGAATTTATTTTATATCTATGCGACATTCACCATGAATCAGTATTAGCTGCATTTCTGTGATTTGGTATTTTGCAACATTTGAAGAATTGGACGCGAATGAAACTCGGCCAACTACATACCATAGCGTTCTTTGTAGAATATTGAAATATTTTTTATTTTTTTCATAATTAACATTACAAATATCATAAAATTATAATAATGCATTTATTNTTTAATTTTCCAAAACATATATGTTTGTTATGAGAAAGCGTATCTATTAACGCATAAAAAATTGTACTAGCTATAAAAATAAACTTTTTACAGCCATTTAAACATTTAATTTGTTAATAACAATTAAACTGACCACTTTCAGGTTTTGCGACCAATTTTTTTGGGTTCAGGAGGTCAAAATAGTTAAGAATAAGTTTTTTGCAGCCGTGGCACTTTGATTGGCCACGGAGCCCTATCTGGCTCCTAGACTATATACTTAATAGGCATTGTAGGGGTTACAGTTTAAATTTTCTCAGATATTTGCGGTTTACTTACATTTTCAAGAATATTACGTTAAAATATCATCAAATGTACCTTGAAAGGCAAATATTTGTATTGTCCTCACTATTCTACAGGTATCAAGTATTTTGTGGACAAGAAAAATGCATAATAATTATTCTAATGAAGATATTTTGAATTTATTTTATATCTATGCGACATTCACCATGAATCAGTATTAGCTGCATTTCTGTGATTTGGTATTTTGCAACATTTGAAGAATTGGACGCGAATGAAACTCGGCCAACTACATACCATAGCGTTCTTTGTAGAATATTGAAATATTTTTTATTTTTTTCATAATTAACATTACAAATATCATAAAATTATAATAATGCATTTATTACTTATTTAAAATGATTTATCTTTGCTATACTNAACTTTTTTGGCTTTTCATCGAAGTTAAATAATAAAAAAGCCTTATAAACAAATAAAAACAGCTTTTTCGTTGAAATTTCACAACTTTCTAAGCTGCCAATAATTGTTAAATAAATAAATTAATAAATGGAACTTATCTATCTTGTAAAATAAAGTTCAAGCTTTAAAATGAAATGTCGTGCGTCTCAATTCGTTCAATAGAACCAGAGATATGGTGAAATAGGTGCGCACGGAGACGGAAAATGTGAGATATTTGCACTAAATTTGCAATAACTTTGGTTAAAGTTAATCTTTTTTTAATTTTCAAAAACATATATGTTTGTTATGAGAAAACGTATCTATTAACGGATAAAAAATTGTACTAGCTAAAAAAATTAACTTTTTACAGCCATTTAAACATTTAATTTGTTAACAAAAATTAAACTGACCACTTTCAGGTTTTGCGACCAATTTTTTTGGGTTCAGGAGGTCAAAATACTTATGAATAAGGTTTTTGCAGCCGTGGCACTTTGATTGACCACGGAGCCCTATCTGGCTCCTAGACTATATAGGCATTGTAGGGGTTACAGTTTCAATTTTCTCAGATATTTGCGGTTTACTTACATTTTCAAGAATATTACGTTAAAATATCATCAAATGTACCTTGAAAGGCAAATATTTGTATTATCACTCACTATTCTACAGGTATCAAGTATTTTGTCGACAAGAAAAATGCAGAATAATTATTCTAATGAAGATATTTTGAATTTATTTTATATCTATGCGACATTCACCATGAATCAGTATTAGCTGCATTTCTATGATTTGGTATTTTGCAACATTTGAAGTATTGGACGCGAATGAAACTCGGCCAACTACATACCATAGCGTTCTTTGTAGAATATTGAAATATTTTTTATTTTTTTCATAATTAACATTACAAATATCATAAAATTATAATAATGCATTTATTACTTATTTAAAATGATTTATCTTTGCTATACTTTAAAAACCTTTAAATCATTAAAAATTAGAGAAAAATTCTAAGAAAACCAACCGAAATCATTTCATTAATTATTGTTTTGTTTCAGTTGAAAAAACTAAATCATAGAAATTTGATTCACGGTGAATGTTCCATGGATATAAAATAAATTCAAAATATTTTCCATTAGAATTATTATTTTGCATTTTTCTTGTCGGGCAATACTTGGATACTTGTAATACTGAATGACAATACCAATTTACCTTTTACTTGATGATATTTTTAATGTCATATTCTTGAGAATGTAAGTCCGCAAATATCTGAGAAAATTGAAACCGTAACCCCTACAATGCCTATATCGGTGAAGAAGAAGAATTTGATTTTTTATAATATGATGCAGAAAAATGCAGGGTGTTCCATTTGAATTTAAAAAGTTTTGTCGGTTTTAAGTTCTCAAAATTATCATGATAAATGGGACGCTTAGTATAATTTTCTTCAGGTAATTTTGATAGCGGAAGGTCTTATGTTCTTTGTGTACTCTGAAAAGTGAAACCTCCCTAAACGAAGGAAGATATAAGGAATTTTCCGTAACGCTTGTATCTGTCAAAATTTTTATAATGTCGATTATCTCGAAAACGGTTAGATTTAGGTACATGGAAGCTTTAACATTTTTGACTTATTTTTAATTTATCTTGTCGATAATGCAGTAATATATAGGGTGTTCCGTTTAAAATAACGAATTTGACAGCTACTTCCGGCATAACAGGAAGTATTTTCATTGAAGAGAACATACCTGATAACCCCCGTAAATAAAACTTCAGTCATATTGTCTTTGGTTCCCCCGAAACGTATAATAGGCCACTTACCATGAAGAACCCTGCATAATAACTTGCTTAAGATCTGTATAAAAATATATTAATCTCAGAAACCGTAGTATATGAAAAAACTTCCTATCAGCTGACAACTATTAGAATTTATGCTAATTTTTGAACGAATGTGATTAATTTATGTATATGTTTGTTTGTACGCATTTACATACCTCTACNTGCTATACTTTAAAAAATTCTACAACATTAAAAATTAGATAAAAATTCTAAGAAAACCAACCGAAATCATTTCATTAATTATTGTTTTGTTTCAGTTGAAAAAACTAAATCATAGAAATTTGATTCACGGTTAATGTTACATGGATATAAAATAAATTCAAAATATTTTCATTAGAATTATTATTTTGCATTTTTCTTGTCGAGCAATACTTGATGCTTGTAATACCGAATGACAATACCAATTTACCTTTCATTGATGATATTTTTAATGTAATATTCTTGAGAATGTAAGTCCGCAAATATCTGAGAAAATTGAAACCGTAACCCCTACAATGCCTATATCGGTGAAAAGAGAATTTAATTTTTTATAATATTATGCAGAAAATGCAGGGTGATCCATCTGAATTTAAAAAGTTTTGTCGGTTTTAAGTTGTCAAAATTATCATGATAAATGGGACGCTTAGTATAATTTTCTTCAGGTAACCTCCCTAAACGAAGGAAGATATAAGGAATTTTTCGTAACGCTTGTATCTGTCAAAATTTTTATAAAATGTCAATTATATCGAAAACGGTTAGATTTAGGTACATGGAAGCTTTAACATTTTTGACTTATTTTTAATTTATCTTGTCGATAATGCAGTAATATCCGTGTTCCGTTTAAAATAACGAATTTGACCGCTACTTCCGGTATAACAGGAAGTATTTTCATTGAAGAGAACATACCTGATAACCCCCGTAAATAAAACTTCAGTCATATTGTCTTTTGTTCCCCTGAAACGTTTAATAGGCCACTTACCATGAAGAACCCTGTATAATAACTTGTTAGAGATCTGTATAAAAATTTATTAATCTCAGATGATGAAAAACTTCCTATCAGCTGACAACTATTAGAATTTATGCTAATTTTTGAACGAATGTGACTAATTTATGTATATGTTTGTTTGTACGCATTTACATACCTCTACAATGTACTGAACAATAATATATAAATAATATATACCTGTATTCATAAACCACGATTAAAAATGAGGCTTACACAAATAAGTGAGGTCAATTTCAAGCAAACAAACCCCTACCACTAGTGTCCCATTTTATCTTGCCCTTACCCCTTGACTATAAACGTTATTGTTTTTTCCTAGTTCACTTATAAACAAACAAGCTAACCGATTATATCAAATCAAGAATACTTGTTATCTTAATTTTGTATTTCCAGTTTTATCTTCAGTCAGCGTCGGGTTATACACGAGTTCGGTTGTGTTTCGCAGTTTTCTATCTTTACAGCACGTGTATCGCCTGACAGCACTTTGTTTTGATCCACCACTTTGCACTTTAGCCTCCCGCATAAAATTTAAAATTTAAAGGTAAATATATAATATTTCAGTACCTACTGTTCCGTTCGTCATGTTTTATTTATACATGAATACATTTTACATAAGTAATTAGCAAATTGTGTTTCATAAAAAATTGTCGATATACCACAGATATTTAATGGATGGAAATTTAATTACGCGTGCAACTTACAGAAGATTTTTTTCTATTTTCCCTACATTTAGTTCGCTTAAATTGTTTTAAGCAATATACTATTTGTCATCACACTTTTATAATTTCGGCTTTTTCTATACAAAAATCAATATTTACTATTTTATAAACACAATTTGTTAATTAATATATCATTACTGAATTGATATCTTTTTAGTTTCTCAAAAATACTTGTTTTAAAATCTTATTAATTAATATTAACGAGATGTTCGTCCTGAAATAGTCAGGGTGTTTCAAAAAGACCTCCCATAAATACTTGGGGTGATAGCACGACAAAAAAGATTTTTTTGTCTTATGAACTACAAAGTGACAGAATAAAATCTTTTAAATAGAATTTTTACGAAAATTTCCAAACGGTGCGAAATATTTTTTATGAAATTGGATATTCCGGGATTTTTAAGGATGCCAAATACGCTGGTCTAATTATTTTTTGGATATTTTATAGAGGGCGCTAGTTATGCTATATTCCTATTACATTTTAAATTCTAATTTTTTAAGGTTAGGTTTTTATCATTCGGGCTCCAATTTCTAATGTACAATTATATTTTCTAAAAATATTGTACTCTTGTTAGAACTTCCTAATGTGGACGGTTTTCGAGAAAAAAGACTTGTAATTAAATTCTTATAATATTACGGTGTATAAAATAAGTGACTTTTCTCAAAGTAGGCTTATGTCAAAACTTATTGATGAATGTCTCATAAACAACACATACATTCTTAGTAATATTTTAAACTCTAATTAACCTTATAACAAAATTTTAGCGATTGTTAGTCACTGTAGTGAGTAATGAATAACACTAAAATTTTGATGTAAAGTTAATTAGAGTTTAAAATATTACTAAGAATGTATGCGTTTTTATGAGTTTATAAGTTTTGACATAAGGCTACTTTGAGAAAAGTCACTTATTTTATACACCGTAATATTGTAAGAGTTCGATTAAAAGCCTTTTTTTCTCGAAAACCGTCCTCATTAGGAAGTTCTAACAAGAGTACATTATTTTTAGAAAATAAAATTGTACATAAGAAATTGGAGCCCGAATGGTAAAAAACCTAACCTTAAAAAAATTATAACGTAAAATGTAATAGGAATGTAGCATAACTAGCGCCCTCTATGAAAAATTCAAAAAATAATTAGACCAGTGTATTTGGCGTCCTTAAAATCCCCGGAATACCAATTTCATAAAAATATTTCCCACCGTTTGGAAATTTTCGTAAAAATTCTATTTAAAAAATTTTATTTTGTCNTCTATATTTTTAAGGTTAGGTTTTTTACCATTTGGGTTCCAATTTCTAATGTACAATTATATTTTCTAAAAATATTGTACTCTTGTTAGAACTTCCTAATGTGGACTGTTTTCGAGAAAAAAGACTTTTAATTAAATTCTTATAATATTACGGTGTATAAAATAAGTGACTTTTCTCAAAGTAGGCTTATGTCAAAACTTATTGATGAATGTCTCATAAACAACGCATACATTCTTAGTAATATTTTAAACTCTAATTAACCTTATAACAAAATTTTAGTGATTGTTAGTGACTGTAGTGAGTAATGAATAACACTAAAATTTTGATATAAAGTTAATTAGAGTTTAAAATATTACTAAGAATGTATGCGTTTTTATGAGTTTATAAGTTTTGACATAAGGCTACTTTGAGAAAAGTCACTTATTTTATACACCGTAATATTGTAAGAGTTCAATTAAAAGCCTTTTTTCTCGAAAACCGTCCACATTAGGAAGTTCTAACAAGAGTACATTATTTTTAGAAAATAAAATTGTACATTAGAAATTGGAGCCCGAATGGTAAAAAACCTGACCTTAAAAAAATTAGAACGTAAAATGTAATAGGAATGTAGCATAACTAGCGCCCTCTATGAAACATCCAAAAAATAATTAGACCAGTGTATTTGGTGTCCTTAAAATCCCCGGAATACCAATTTCATAAAAATATTTCCCACCGTTTGGAAATTTTCGTAAAAATTCTATTTAAAAAATTTTATTTTGCCACTCTGTATCTCGAAAACAAGAAATAGACATATAGGTCATAAGACAAAAAATTATTATTTTTTGTCGTACTATCACCCCCTGTATTTACGGGAGGTCTTTCTGAAACACCCTGTATAGGTATTTGAATACAAAAATGCTCTTAAAATTATTTACTGGATTCTAATTTTTCTGACATATTGTCACTACTAAAATTTGTGCAAAATTTTTATATTGTAATTAATTAGAATACTAACTTAACAGAACTAGATGAAATAAATACATCTTTGATTATCCTTTGTATAGGTTATACAATCTTGTTAAATTTATTTTGAGTAATACCAAGCAAACAATTCCTATTTAAAATTTAAAACTTAATAGAACATAAATCCCAATGTAGGTGTAGGGTATTCCGGAAAAGGTTGCATAAAATGGAAATGGTGTTAGGGCCCTTTTTGGTGGAGATATTAAATGTTTCCCAGGTTTTCTCAAAATAGCTACAATTAGAAAATTAAACTTTGGTACTTGCATAGTATTATGAAATGCTAAAATACATTATATATATTTCGGTTAAGCCATTGTAAACTATACCGTGACTTTTTTTTAATGAAATCAATGCAAAAGTATATTTTTAAACCATTCTATACCGGGTATTCCAGAATATGTCAGCAATCTCTCGGAGTTATACAGGGGACCTTAAAATAACATGACAAGTTCCTATAAAAAATTTCCGTAGTCGGAGATACAAGTCCCTATAGGACGCCCCTGAAAATCGATTTTTTTTATTAACTTTTAAAATACTTTGTGTAATTTAATTATTTTTTAATACGATAAAGAACAGACTCCTTAAAAATTGACCCATGAAAACAATTTGGCTTATTTGGTTTGCCAGGGGCGGACAGCTACAGCTAGTAGCACAATGTCAATTTTTTTAAACACTACGATAAAGGCACAAATGTAATATTTTTAGATAGCTTGAACCTTAAACTAAAAAAGGCACCCTTCGTTGATATCGATAGAATGGACTGTTTTCCAGAAAAAGCTATTTTTGTTTAATATGATTTTTATTACATAATTTTGTATGTCGGTTCAACATGAGCTGCTTCTAATCTTGTGCATCCCCTAGCTCTGCGAATTGAAGATCGTTGGATCCTCTGTTGTCCTTCGTATTAAAAAATAATTAAATTTCACAAAGTATTTTAAAAGTTATTTAAAAAAATCAATTTTCAGGGTCGTCCTTTAGGGGTCTGTTTCTCCGGACCTTCTAGGGGAAATTTTTATAAGAACTGACATTCCGAGACATCCTGTACAGCTGCAAACTTTTGTAAAATTTTTCTATGGAAATATATACTTTAGTTTTTAAATTAAAAAACGGACACCTATAGTATTTATTGTAAACAAAGTTTATTCTTTTTTTTTCGTTAATAATCATAATCAACAATGTAAATGCACTGCAACTTTATTACCTTTTACGGGCTGTATTTCATAAAAGATTAAATACATACCTACAAATAGTTTTAAAACTGAAAAGTTGCAGGAGCTAATAAAAAAACAACTTAATAATATAACCAAACTGTTTGGTAATGACAATAATTAGATATGTTAATCAGAAAAATACATACTTTATAAAAGGTATTAAAAGACTTTTTTAACATAAAANAGGGGACGTTAAAATAACATGACAAGTTCCTATAAAAAATTTCCCTAGACGGAGATACAGGTCCCTATAGGATGCCCCTGGATATCGATTTTTTTTATTAACTTTTAAAATACTTTGTGTAATTTAATTATTTTTTAATACGATGAAGAACAGACTCCTTAAAAATTGACCCATGAAAACAATTTGGCATATTTGGTTTGCCAGGGGCGGACAGCTACAGCTAGTAGCACAATGTAAATTTTTTTAAACACTACGATAAAGGCACAAATGTAATATTTTTAGATAGCTTGAACCTTAAACTAAAAAAGGCACGCTTCGTTGATATTGATAGAATGGACTGTTTTTCAGAAAAAGCTATTTTTGTTTAATATGATTTTTTTACATAATTTTGTATGTCGGTTCAACATGAGCTGCTTCTAATCTAATGCATCCCCTAGCTCTGCGAATTGAAGATCGTTGGATCCTCTGTTGTCCATCGTATTAAAAAATAATTAAATTGCACAAAGTATTTTAAAAGTTATTTAAAAAAATCAATTTTCAGGGTCGTCCTTTAGGGGTCTGTTTCTCCGGACCTTCTAGGGGAAATTTTTATAAGAACTGACATTCCGAGACATCCTGTACAGCTGCAAACTTTTGTAAAATTTTTCTATGGAAATATATACTTTAGTTTTTAAATTAAAAAACGGACACCTATAGTATTTATTGTAAACAAAGTTTATTCTTTTTTTTTCGTTAATAATCATAATCAACAATGTAAATGCACTGCAACTTTATTACCTTTTACGGGCTGTATTTCATAAAAGATTAAATACATACCTACAAATAGTTTTAAAACTGAAAAGTTGCAGGAGCTAATAAAAAAACAACTTAATAATATAACCAAACTGTTTGGTAATGACAATAATTAGATATGTTAATCAGAAAAATACATACTTTATAAAAGGTATTAAAAGACTTTTTTAACATAAAAATTATAGAATAAACAAATATCTATATAAATTATTTTTTATTTTAAAATAATTGTCTGTCTAAAGTAAAAAAACTAGTATTAAATGACAAAATTTATGTTTCTAGTTACAGTCATTTTGGAGAAAAGATATTTCATCTCGAATTAGAAGTGTTATTTTTTTCACATATATACATAATAATAATAATAATAATATATTTTATTTTCAATTTA